ACACTTACTAATAAGCCACACCCACAAAAAAGTGCATATATAGGCCGTGCTTGTCTATAAGTTGTCCACGCTGTGCCATGAGATATTTATACAGAAATATTTTTTAAACTTTTAATAAAATCTGTATGAGTAACTAACAGTAAAAAAAAAAAAATTCTGAACAGTGCATGTAACACGGCTGTTTTAAAAAAAAAAATAACAGTAGCCTACCAGGAAGTTGTTGATTGCTATTCATCTTCCTCCTGTGCAAGCTTGTGCTGTCCTCGTGCTTCACTATCAGGGTTCACTGGCAAACTTGAGCAAAAGTTGCTCTGCACATGCAGGGGAATCTCCACATCACGAGAGGGATCCCTTCCCCCTCCCCGTTTCATTGGTTTGACTATGATCTGTTTGGTATTTTCATTGGTCATGTTATTTGTTGTTTGTTTGTTTGTTTTGGTGCCACAAAATTTATTAGCCTGTCAAAAAAAAAAAAAAAAGAAAAATCCACAAATTTGCCTCAGTATTGTATAAGCTGCGATGGTCAAAGCATGTGAAAAAAGTAGCGGCTTATAGTCCGAGAATTACGGTAAATATATTTTACTGTCATTTCAAAGCTAGAATACAAATGAGCTTAGAGATGGTTTACTGTGCCTTCTTTTGTGTACAATTTAAAGTGATTTAACTTTAAATAAGGCCTCAGGGGGTCATTTTGAGCTAATGGTGGCTGGAGGATTAAAACTATATCACCAGCCTCTGTAGTACATGGGCAGAGAGAATCTTCAAGGTTACTAGCAGCTTGAGCGTTTTCAGATGGAACAAGAACTGTGCTCAGATACTAAGGAAAGTCACAGCAGTGTGCCATTTCAGGATTATAACACCCATTTAGAATAAATATATATATATACTCCTTGCAAAGAAAGCTTTTTCTCTCAAAGTTGTCAGTGTGTGCAATTAGCAGTGATATTATCCCCGAGTCAGACTTTAGTTACACACCGAATGGCAGTTTGAAACAGATAGTCTGAGTGTGTGTGAATACTCATTTATTATACGAGCAGAACAGCAGGTTTATGACCGAGATTCTGTCACTGCCCGCGAGATGGCTGCCCAGGGAGAGCTTTGCTGCAGGTATGACCAACCAGGAGAGATCCCTGGTTGGGACTGAATAATTTAACAGATGGAGAAGAAGCAAAAGACACCTGGTGTCATCATAGTGAAAGTCATGGGTGTCTTACTAATTGCAGGGCCAGAATATGCTTGGAATGTAAAGGAGGGGAGTTTTTAGAAATTCAGATAAAAGCAGCATTAATCTGTATCAGCATGTGCCACCATCCAGGGATTAAGTCACACAGTACAGACAGAGGTAATTTACAGTTATACAACCTGCTACTATACGGCTTTTAACAAGATCTGCTTTGATTCATGTGCTTTCATTTTAGGGGTGGATTTTCTCCAAACATCTCTTGAGCTTCTATACGTGATATACTGTACAAATGTTTAAATAGCAAGAATTTCCTCTGAGGAAAACTGTAAATGTTCCATTAAAATAATGGGATTTCTTAACATGTGCATGGTTGGCCAACTTCATGCTTGGCTCTCTGAGCTTTTGACCCATTAGAACTGCTTAAGGGTGCATAAGATAAAAAGTAGACCTAGTGACCCTGCGATGCATGAGTGGAAAGACAAAGACTGTCCTCAGTCAAAGGAGAGAAGGTCCACAGGCAGGACAGGAAGTGAAGTGCCAGAGTGGACGTCAAAATGCAAACCATCCTTCACTTCCTGCTCCCAGCTATTTCCATTGTCACTAATGTTTTAAAGATTTTTCCTTCTGGGACATGCTGAGATACTTGTTTTTAACATTTGTGGCACCATTTTATATCAATAATTCAGAAGCTCATGGAAAAATACCTGTTCCAAAGGGAAAAGTGTGTTTCTAGTACTTTAAAACAATCAGTGACATTTGAACTAGTGAAAACATTTATCAATTTTATTTCAAGCCATTTTGACAATCGACATTTCTTAACAACATGACAGCTGTACTAAAGATGTCATGAAAACACCATTATTGTGTTCAAGGGAAATGTCTGCAGCTAATCCCCAGTGCAGAGACGCTAGCTCCAAAAATACAACAAATACATCAGAATAAATATGCTCATAAATCAGATCCTGCTGACTTTGGTTTTGACCAGTGAAAGGACACTGAGACACTCCATCAGTCTTGATTTTGATGGTTTTGACACTTAAAAGGCCTGTATGAGTTTGCAGATTGAGTTGAAGTGTACCTGCACCTGTTAGAGTTCATAAATCTCCCTGTTCCATTTATTGTCTTACTTTCAGTAAGTCGTGAGGACACAATGTCCTTACAATAGTTTGTAAATCTGAAACTCCCTGCCAGTTTGTTAGAACTAAACAACCCTTTGAATGAGAAGAAAATGCATTCAAGGACCAAATAAGAAGGTCCAATTGCCTTCAGTTCAAGCACTTATGCTTAAAAGCACTTAAGGGCGATTAGACTGATTAAAAACAGCACTAGACATATTTTATTCATTCTCTCTTTGACTAAGTAGCTTCCTAATTGTATGTATTTTTGTTTGTTCTTTGCTCCAGATAAATTAAGAAAGATTTAAATGAGCAGTTGAAAAGAATAATGCTTTCAGAGTTTTACTGTGAAAGAATAGAAACCCTGATAAATGTGCCATTTTTTAGTTATAATTGAAAACGAGGTGGTGCCGGTGATGACTGGAGTGGCATGGACAGAAATAATCCAATGCATGAAATGTGGTGGGAATGAAAAGTTCCTGTATCTAATTATGTTTGTCCTACTTTCCGTGAACTTCATCTTCATCAACAAACTTCTTGTTCTGTAACTTCCAGGATAATGATCTTATCCTTTACCTCTGGGGATTGTAGAGAGGGGAAAGTTAACTTTTGTAACTTAGTGTTACTTTAGTTAAAACAGATGGATTATCTGAGATGTTTATATCCATCGTTTGGCACAGATACATGTACTCTGGCCATGCGCACAATGAGACAGTAGATTAATTTGCATTTGCACATGTATTGGGTTGATTCTTCATAGAATAAAATAAGCTCTGTGAGAACTAACGGAGCCCAAACAAATTGAGCATTGTGCATGAAGTATGTGAAATGTGTAACAGATTGACACATTTTCCAGCTTTCCTCCCCTCCAAGTGATCCCCTCTTTGCTTTAGGAGACAAAATAAGGAGATGAGCAAGCTAATTGTTTAAAGCTAATGGACGCCAGACAGTAACAGGTGGCTACAAAGAGACATTTAGTCACAAATGGTTTTGTTATCTCCACCGTTAATTGCTCTGACAATTTTCCAACTGTTGTCAGGTCAGCCCAAGGCTAATACTCACTGAGGCTGCATCTGTCTTCTCCCCTTGAATCCCTGTGACAGTAGCTCTTCTGTCCAGGAATGGTAAATTACATGTTCATGAGCGGTTTAGTTATGCTTGGATTCCGTCCAGAAACCTCAATCATATTAATTAAAATCCCGTTGTCCTCTGAAGGGACAAGCATTTTTTAACGTCTGTGTTTTAAAGACATATCTTTGTGTCTGATACACCGGATCTCTGAAGGCTTCAGCAATACCTTTTGTCTAACATGTTAAATAAAAAGATAAGTGATTGTGCTGGCACGTGCTGAAGAGGTGATTTAATATCTTACCTGTTGCAGATAGTTTCAGTTTGGAAAGTTTAATTCTGACAGATTGGTAACTCTGAATTGTCTCTTGGTGTGAATGAGAGAGTGAATGGTTTGTCTCGTTTGTCTCTATGTGTCCCTGTGATGGACTGGAGACCTGTCCAGGGTGTCCCTGCCTCTCACACAGTGATGGCTGGACATGGGCACCAGTGACCCCCCACGACTTAGAAAGGAAGAAGCGGGTAAAGATGATGGATGGATAGAAGAGCTAAAGGCTTTTAAGAGCATATCCCAGACCAGGGAGGGTCTCAAAACAACTAAAATGTTAAAGAATTATACAAATTATATTTTAAAATAAACTTTTATGTTGCTGTTTGTTTTGCATCCAGTGGTTCTCTAGAACTCCATGGTTATTTGTTAGTATGTGGTGCAGCCTAGAGCACTTCCAGCAAGAATATCGCATAATTAATGATTAAATAACCAAATAAAATTCACAGTTTTTCTTCTAAAATGACTTCAGTTACCGACTGAAGTCATTACCAGGGTGCTTATTCATTTATTTCCTTGATCAATTATGCTTGCAGCTCTAATTAAAATCCTCTGAGCAATTTGAGTGACTTCTCACACATGCAAACGGCACAAAAAACGTTCTTACAGACGAACAAAACTAACTATTTTTATGGCACAATGGCTCAAATTAATGTAATATTCAACTTCCCTTTTTGTTGAAATGCTGTTGTGCAATTGCACTGACACAATAAACGCAGTCGAACCAGCACACTAAAAACATTTGACTTTAAGTAACTAATAAACACTTTAATTAATGAACTCAGTTTACCAACCGTTTCTATAAGCAACACTAAAAAGAAGCTATTAAGTGTCCTGGTTGATTGATCTTTACATTTTATTTAGCATTTTTCAAAGTCTAGTCAATGGATTACCGTTTAATCGTTATGCCAAAATGACTGGATTGATAAGATTTACAATAACTACCCAGATGTAATTGTCCTTCTCTCACTACAAGTAAAGGAAATAGCTTCTTGTATAATTCACATCTTTGTCTCCTCTGTGTCCTCTCCGGAGCTTTAACGTGCTTTTTTCCTGCTCACTTGAAAATTGAATCTCAAGGGCAGTGTGTTTTATGTGAAATAAGTGTGATTGTGAATTACCATGCAATTTACTCTCTAGCTCTCCGAATATAGCATTTGGTGATGAAACTACACGTAAGAGGAAGCAGTTAGATTAGTGTAAAAACGGAACATTTGTGCTGCGGTTTTTAAATTTGTTGGACATGATTTGACTGAAATGAGATTTTTATTGTGTTTTTTTTTTTTTTTTTTAATCTCTCTTACAGGAATCTTTTGGACAAGGACACATTCTCCAAATCAGACCCATGTAAGTTCAGTTTTTACTCTGATGCTTCAGTTTAACGGTTCTTTAGGTTTAGATTATTACAAAGAATGCAACTCTTTGAATTTTGCGGTGCCTTTTGGCTTTTGCTGAGCTTAAGTTTAATTCAGTTTACTCTGCTCTTTCAAAGTGTTCCTCCAAAAACAGCATATCATTTGCACAGTAATGTGACAACCTTCCCTTGCTGTGAGCTAAAGCAGCATAATGCATGCAGGCTATAAACACCAGCCGCTGAATACAAATGGTTATCTTTTGGTTTGAGAAATTGAAAAATGCCATAAAAACATTTTTTGTGTCATATTCTCAGCTGAATAGAAAAGGGAGGGGATTTTTAAAATTTTATATAAGCCCTTTGTGTAAATGAGCTGAGGGAAAAGTGTCATGCGCATGAATTTTAGTACAAGCCTGAAGCCAAATGCCAAATGGCAGGTCAGGTGAGCTTCACCTGCTTCAGCTGTGTTTTCAGTTGCACAATCAAATAGAAATCAGGACAATCCCACCCATTACAAAATTGTGTTTTGATTGCAGAGCTTACTTGTGCTCCAGGAGCTCTTTGTGTTTTTAAGAGCTTTGTTCCCGTGCACGTGGATGTCACTCAGCATTAATCATCAAGCTCGGCACTTCATTATGCTGTCAGGGCGTGGCAGGATAATTGATGATAAATGTCAGCGGCGAAGGGATAAAACAAACACCATTTGTAGATTCAGGATGCTCGTCTGAGATGGTTCTTTGACAGTTTATTCTTTTGCTCTTGTGTTTTTTATTTTTCCTTTTACTCCTGCCCGCCATCGCCTCACCGCTCAGTGGTCGTGTTATACACCCAGGGTGCAGAGTCCAAACAGTGGAGAGAGGTAAGAGATCACAGCCACGCTCTCTGTCAACACAACTCAATCAGTCAGCTCGTCTCCATGACAGCCTGCTTTCTGTTTACATCCCCTGTCATCCCCTCTGCTCTCACAAGGTAAATGCTGTGTGCCAATCATTAGCAATTGATCAACCCTGATGGTCAGTACTGTGTTAGCTCTGACTGACTGACTCATTAAGGGGGCAGCTACACATATCTTTAAAGATTTTGCTCTGCATCACAAGCCCGTCTGGTCGCTGGAAATGAGAGATAATTAGCCCAAAGAGGCCAATAAATCTCCAGCAGGGCAGAGGGTTCATACATAAACTCAAAATGGATGGAAATACAGAGAAATGGTCACTTAAATTTGCTTGTCTTTGCCACCATTAATATTTTAGCTTTTGGAACATCAAATAATTTGTTGTGAATGTTACAATCTGTGCCGTTTTGTGTATACTCAATTCTAGTTTCATACTCATCATTTTATTGATCCTGACAGGCTTTATGCAGTGTAAAACAAGATGCAAACACAGAGGAACTTCACTGTATATACAGTATGCAAAATCCCTAGTCTTTATATTGCACTGAGTTAAAACTGCAAAACTTTTGCAGTTTTAACTAGAGAAATTGCATTTCTGGTGAAAATGCAGTATGAATGCTTGTTGCAAGAGAACTTGCTGAAATTAACTAAAAACATGCTGAAATAAAGCTGGAAAGCATAAACAAGCCATAGCAGAATAAAGAAGAATTTTCTGAATAGCTAAAAAAAATGCTGAAATTAACAAAACATTAGCTGAAAGTAGCTGTAAAGGCAGAAAGAATTTATCAGAAGGAGTTGAAAAGATCTCCAAGAATGTGGAATTAGCTAAAAAGGCTAAATTTAGCATAAAATAGCTAAATAGTAGCTGAAATAGTAGAAAAAGCTGAAACTTTCAGAGATAAGCTGAAAGTAGCATAAATAAGCTGAAATTAGCAGAAAGAAGTTAGAAGAAGCACAAAAATGTTGTGGTTAGCATAAATAATCTGAAAGGAGCTCAAAACAGCTGAAAAACAGCTGAAATTATCTGAAATTAGCTGAAAAAAGTTTAAATTTGCACAAGGAAGCTGAAAGAAGCTAAACCAGAACAAAATGTGAAAGGAGCAGTAAAAGGTTGTAAACACATCTAAAGATTGGAAGGATGTAAAATGAGCTCAGTTTATTTTCTATGAGGGAAAAAATGGCAGAAAAGGCTAAATATGTCAAAAAGCTAAAGTTGCACCAATACCAAAAGTCATAGCAGGATTGTCCTTAAAGAGATGAACATTTTGATATATAATTTGTTGAAATAGCTTGAAAACTGCAGGACAAGAAATGCGCCGAAAAATGTACGGAAATGGATCACAATAGTGTATTATTGACAAGATGCTAGCTCCTAAAGTGAGAAAGATTTACAAACATCTAAGTTTCAACAAAATAAAGTATATATTGCAATTTTTCAGTATATTTTATTTAGCTTTTTGAGGTAAGATCATCAAAATCAGTAGGGTCCTGTGAGTGGTGGAGTTTGGATAACCTCAGTAAATATCTCAGAGGTTGGCTGTGACTATGTAGCAATTTGATAACATTTTGTATAATTAACAGTAAGCTGATGCATAAAAAGTATTATGTTTGTTTTACAATAGACTTTACTTTAAATCATGAGTAAAGTACTGCAGAAATGAACCAGCTCTGTCAGCAGCAGAACATGAATTTAGCTTTAAATTTCCTGCATATATTGCACATTGAAAGCTGCTATGAAAAAAAAAAAATCAGTGTAGGCTTGTTTGGAAAGAAGTAAACATATTTAGAGCCTCACTTGGTGCTTGATTGTATTGTACGCTTGATTTTTAGTTTGTTCAACAGGAAAGTTGAACAAAAGTGAAGAAAGTGCAATGCTCAGTTTTGCAGAAGTTTCACAGAATCAGGTTAGCACAAAACTTCTCTTCTGAATAACTGGGCATATTGTTGAGCTGTTAGATTATATATTAAAGCATTTTTTTCTTTAATGTTGTTAAAACGATTATAAATAAGCAAACAAGTTTATTCAATTGATTCTTGAGCTGCAGTTTACGTCAATGCTGAACATATGATTTTGTTCGCTGGTTGCAGATCAGGAACAAAAAAACCCCCCAAAAAACCCAAAACATGCTTCTTACGGTTTAATATGTGTGATTCTAGTCTCCATCAAAGTAAATCCAGTTAACTATATTTCAAGCAAGCGAAGCACTAAAATTAACAACAAAACTGACAGCAACAGCTTTTCTAATCAGTGTGCGCTCGCACAGCTGCTGCCTTTGTTTGAGCCTGCTACTCCTGTAAGGTGCAACACAATCTGCACTGCACTTCACAAAAAAACAACACGACTTCTCCCAGAAAATCAGCAGTATTGTTCCAGTTACCTGATCACAAGAAACGCTGTAATGTTTCCAGAAATTGCATCGACTAAGTGAAGCTCACAGCTGTTAACAACGTTGCAGAGCAGGGATGGTGAGAAAACCTTTTTACTTGCTTCAGATTTATTTGTTTCCACTTCTGAGACGCTGAACATGATGAACTACATTCCAATAAATCCTCCTCTGGATGACTGATCTGTCTGAACACATTTCTTTACAGCGTTTCACCTGCAAAAGCAGCTCCCGCTGACACTGCAAACGATGCATCAACTATCACAGTGGCTTAATTAGGTGTTTTTTCATTAAAAAAATATTTTCAGATTGTCGAACTTAAGTTTGCAAATACATTTCTTTTAGAAAATAGTTGCACAAAGTTGTAGTTCATGAATATTAAACAATTTTAAGAACATAGAAATAATGCAAACAAAGCCACGGAGAGACCGAAAGCAGAAGATGCAACGATTTTGGAAAGTTAAACGCAAAAAAACATCCGTCCATCATCTTTATCCGCTTCTTCAAAACAACCATTCTCTCACTCACACCTAGAGACAATTTAAAGTTACCAATCAGTCTAACATGCATGTTTTTGGTTTGTGGGAAGAAACCGGAGCACCTGGAGAAAACCCACGCATGCACAGAGAGAACATGCAAACTCCACCCAGAAAGGCCCCCGGCCGAGATTTGAACCGAGGTGACCTGCTCGCTGAGAGGCGGCAGCTCTACCAACTGCGCCACCGTGCTATACGTGAAACAGCAGAAGAGATTTCAGAAGAAATAATAGAAAATATTACTCGTGCTGAAGGAGAGTTATGACCACTGAAGGAGTGATAGGACTTAAAACACTGATGAGCCTATAAATCTATAAAGTCAAACCACAGCTACACGATGAGGGAGAATTTAAAACTGATTTACAAACGACTCTCTGAGCTCTGACCCTAAATTGATTAAACATATAATCATGGAGAAAGTAACAGGTCTGAAAACTTCTGTTTCTCTATGTCCGGAAGCTCTAAACTAAATAAAGAATAGCAAACTAATTAAAGATAACAAATATATTACCTGACATGTGCACTAATTTTTAGTATAAATAAATTAAAACATTTTACGTATGTGTCAAACTCAAGGCCCGAGGGCCACATTTGGCCCTCGTTGACATTTTCTCTGGCCCCCCAAGATGTTATGTTAAATATAAAATACTTTTATCACTTGAATTAATTTAGTAATCTTTGATTATGATGTGGAAAGTGCAACAGAGAACATCAAATGAGACCAGTCAAACTCTTGTTGAGGAGCATGTGACCAAGATGTTAATGTAGTTTTTGAAACTGGCTCTTAGTTTGAACCATGTTTCTAATTTTGAGCCCCTTTTTGTAAGCGAGTTCTACAACACTGTTTTAAAGGATGTAACAGCACTCATGCAGCGCTCATTTTGTCATCCTATAAGAAACATTAGTTGTTTTAGTTTTGCTGCTTTTTATTTCTTAAACATATTCAGTGATAATTGCTTTTGTGCATTATGACTTACAATAAAGAGCAATGAAAAGGGAGTGGTGGCGCAGAGGAGAAGGTGGGCCTGTGATCGGAGGATCACCGGTTCAATTTCTGGTACCAACAACATCAAAATGTGGATGAGATAAGTGAAGCACCCACACCTGCCTTCATCCTTATTTGCCCCACTCTGGGCCCTTGAGCAAGACCCTTGTCCTCCATGCTCTTCCGTGCACCCTAGATATCAGCTCTCTGCTCCACACAGAGGGCTGTGGGAACTCGGGGGTCTGTGGTTGTATCAGGAAGGACATCCGGTGTAAAAATAATCGCCAACTCTTCGTGCGACTTAGTTCTCTGTGGCGACTCCTGAAGAAGGGAGCAGCCGAAAGAAGAAAAAAAAAGAAGAGAGAGCAATGAAGTTTATTGTAGTTTAAGTCTGGGACATATTTAAAATATCGTAATAAAAGTGCTGAATTTTGAAATTCATTGTGTGAAGTTTTTAAGATGTGCCTCCAGTAGAAAAATCAGGGCAGTTGCAGTTTGAATTGTTTGTTTTTGTTTAGAAAATGGTTCAAATTATCTATCCTCTCTGAAAGAGCTTTTAAATGTCGTAGTAAGAAATCAGGGTCCAAAGGAAGAAAAAACAGAAAGACGTGGAAAGACTTTGGCTAATCATGGTGAGAGGTGCTGCATTATAGATTTGAACCGTGGTGGTGATTCTGAAAACACCATAAAAATGTTTCTGAAGAATACTTGAGCTATAATCTCCATTGTCTTTAAAACACTGGCAGCCCCTTTTCCACAAAATACCAAAATATAGCATGCAGGTAGTCTTAAACAGGGAAATGTTTGCAGATTATGATGCAAATGTAGACGAGCATAAAGGGAAGAGGGCCTTCCCACACCTGTCACTGCTGGTTACTGTGCTGCACCGCTGCTCAGAAGCTGTGGGTGCAGCCTAAATGTCTGTCTCTGACAGAGATATGGTGTTTTCAGTGCACATGTCAGCTGGCTGAGCAGCAGAGCCAAGCTGTGCAGCATTGATAAAGCTGAGCACCTCTTTCGCCCCTCTGTGTGGTAATGTGTTTTGGCTGTCCTGGGAGTGGATATGGCTGGTTGAAGCACCTTTCACTGCAACCAACCCATCTGAAATCCTTTTACTCTTTTATGGTCTTAACTCCCACCCTGGCTCCTGATCAATCAAGTTCCCCACGGGCTGAGGGATATCTTAACAAGAGAGTTTGTGTTTGCACTGTCAGTTGCAAATTTTGTGCACCCCCATGACACATTTTCTGTTTAATACATAAAGCTGCAGTAGCACCTCATTACTCTGTTAGAGCATGATTTTAAAGTCCTAAATTGCAGCTTCCTCCTCTGTAATTTCCTCTCAGTTAGCGATGATTCCCTCTTCCTACCACTTTCACTTACCGAGGTGTTGACACCATCTACCCTCTGCACGAATTCAAGCAAACCTTGGTTTTTTCACTTTCCACTTCAAATTTATAGATGGTAATCTTTTTACCAAGATTGATTCCTTGACACTCCTGCTCACAATTTTTCTTGTCGAGTTTATCAGAGGGGAAGGAGTGCACACTGCATCGGATGGCTGATCAGTGCGGATGTCTTCTACCGTTGCTATAAGGATGGGGACAAAAGTGAAAGCACTGTACACCCCCCGCCCACTCCCCTCGCTGTCACACTCAGCCTCTGTCACTGAAATAGGCTCTCGTTTCCTTCAGTGGAAATTTCACCTCCCTGGCATTAGCTGCAGAGCTCTTATACTTCCTGACAAGAGGAGCAAGAAGAGACGTAGAGCCACACAGCACTTAATCTTTTATAGTTTTAGACACATTCTGTTTTTGATGGCGGGATGCGCTTCCACCAAGCCACAAGCTGACTGTCAAACCTAATCCAACCCTATATATTATCTTTTTATATGACCATAGGCGTTGAAAGTATTCTGCTGCTGTATTGTTAACTTGTCCGTTCCCCCTTAGCTCTTAGTTTCATCCCTACTGGATGCAGTCTGTCAGAAACCAAAAGATTCTGCTATTTTATGTCCTCTCACGCCTTAAAGTGCTGTAATTAATTCACCCTGGCAGTTTATGGTGTCGTTTTAACTTTGAATGTTTTATTTATGCAGCTCCACATCAGTTCCCTGACTTTGAAACATTAGTTTTGGATACAACGAATGTGTGTGCTCGTGCTGGATTCGATGGATGAAACATTATCTGTGGGTTTATTCGTCAGCACTTAACCTCAACTGAAGGCTTTGCTCTGCAGTTCTGGCAGTTTCTTTTCATGGTCTGCATTTATGACTTTATTTATTTCTTTTATAACAGAAACGATTCAATAAAATAAATGAGCATTTACTAAATGAACAGGATTGTTATAAATAATTTATGTTCTTTCTGGATAATTATTGTTATGATAATATTGCTTTTTTGTGTGTGTTGCTAACTCATTTACCACATTTTTTTTTCAGTTTTAAAAAGTTTATTGTTATATAAAGTGGCTGATAGACAGGACTGATGGGCTCGTATCAGATTCTGATGATGCAATAACTGAACACTGACACTTTGATTTTATGGTATTGAAATTTAAACAAATACCCCAAGGTATGGCCAATTTTATTTAAAAATAATGTGCTAAAATTATATCACAAGTTGCTGAAATTAGAGTTAGGGTACAAGCTTGTAGTGCTACAGTATTATGGACATTAAAGAGGTTGATTGTCCACAGGTGTTTTGCCTACGACCTTGTCCATGAATAACCAAAGAAGGAGCTGTGTCTGTATTCTCAGTGAAATCAAGCTCGTTCTTGGGGTGGGTTGGACTCTCTCAGTGCTGCCCCTCATCTTCAATCTTATTCATGGTTTTCATATAGAGGATCTCAAGGTGCAGTCACCGAGATCAGGGTGTGTGTAGTATGGAAACCTCCAGGTGTGGTTCTGTTGGCGTTTACAAGTCATGACCTTCAGGTCTCATGGTGGCGACTCACAGCCGAGAGCAAAGTGGCTGAGGTGAGAGTTTGTCAGCTGAGGAGCTGAGGCCATGCTCCTCAGCTGGAAACAGCTCCTCTGGGTTTGGGATGAGTTTTCCCTCAAGTTTTTTGGGGTCTTGTTAACAAGAGAACGATGGAACACGAGATGGATTGACGAATCAGGGCCTTGTTTACAGTAATGAGGGTGTTGGTCTGGTCCGTTAAGGCATTTGATTAGGTTGTGTTATGGACTCACTGTTGGCTTCACTGAGGAGCTCAACGCATGCTGCTTTTCATTTGAAAGCCTCTTTACTCATGTCTTGATTAATGAGAACAAAGAAAACTGCAAGTGTTGAATCGCTGATTCCTCCTAATAAAATATGAGCTCATCAGAATCCATACATTCACACAGCAGGAGGGGGGTGATGGGGGATGGGGTGGACTGATGTACTGCACATGAATGTCTGCTCGGTGTTCACATTCCTTGCCCTTTTTCTCCTTTTCTTTTGGTTCTGATCCAGTTTGGGAGAACAGAGGTGATAGACAACACGCTAAACCCAGACTTTGTCAGGAAGTACATCCTGGACTACTTCTTTGAGGAGAAGCAGAACCTGCGCTTTGACGTGTGAGTGTTTTTCTGTTTGATCCAACCCTCTGAGGACACATACCAAGTGGGTTTCAAATGTTCTGTTCTTTTCAGTTCTCCAATTGGTTCCTTTTTCATACGAGGTTAACATTTTTCCTTTCTCAAAAATCTCTTCTATCCCTTTATATCTCTTCATCCCTATCTTTTTCTTGCCTCTTGCTCTCCATAAATCACTCATTTTCCTCTTTTCTTCTTGTCAGTTGCTCAGCTCTCCTGGGGTACAATTTATTTGTTTGACGTCTCAGCAGTCATTAATTTAGAGAAGATTGGTATAAATGTCATAAATATTTCATACTGAGCCTCATTCCTCATCTCCCTGATCCAAAGCAAAGCAAATGCTCAAACCCAAGTCCTATAAAACTCACAAAGACCCCTGTACTCCTTTTGTTCTGCCTTTTCCCCTCTGAAAAGGCTAGAATATGAGAGGGTCAGAGAGGTACAGCTTCATTTCAAAGTCTCCCAGAACAGATTTGGGATCACTCGCTCTTCTCGTTCTGATGCTTCATGTTGGAGAGGAGATATACTCCGGAAAAAAATAACCTCTCAAGCATGAAGTCCCTGACGGCCTTAGCGGATATATCGAGGACTGAGCTTCAGGTCTCAGAGGATCTTTAAACTCTTAATGAATTCGCTTGACATGCTTTGATGATGCAATACTTGAATGGGAATGGAGAGAGAGAGAGCATCCTCTCACAATTAGTGTTTCAAATTTACATCTCTATTTTATCACAGAGGTGGGAGCTTGGGTGTGCTCAGGTTTAATTACTTTTACACAAAGTTAGACTAGCAGATGCTTGAAACTTTTTTTTTCTGCAATGATGGTATGTTTCAAAATGCGCCCCATGGCACAATATGCAAATTACACCCATAAACTATAGAATGATTCACTTGATTACTGTGGGATTGCAGCACATGTATTATTTTTGGTTGCTCCCATTTGCCCCCTGTGGGGACCCAGGTGTGTTCTTAACAGGCAATAATCTTTAGTCAGTATATCTGAACCATCTTGTGGCGTTTTGCCCACACCTTAACCTCAGTGGTTTGTGGTTTCTTTACACTTCCAGGTATGATATTGATTCTAAAAGTCCAGACCTGGCAAAACATGTAAGTGAAGAACTTCTTTTTTTTGGTGGTGGAAGAGGAGCTCAACTTCACTCTCTAACTTTTATCCTACAGTGCATGTTTCTCATGTTTAGTTTCTATGCAAACCAAAGTTTGTGGCATTCAGACGCTCAAATATATTTTGTGATAATGAGTGAAACGTGCTTCATTTGACAAACTGGTGATTCGTCTCTTTACCATTCACTTCCCTTTAAAAAGATGATGCTAGTCCCTCAAAGCAATGGGAATTTGTTTCACTTGCATCTAGTTTACTCCTGTCCACCTTATCTTTCCTCTGAAATAAGAATTGAAGCATTGTACATCATTATCAAAGCTAGTCAGCATATTTGCTTCTTTATATGTTGACTTTCAAGAGAAAATAAAGCTTTTTGAAATCATGATTTATTTAAAAAGCAGTCTTTGTCCTAAAGGGTTAAAGCTTTATTTTAAGAGTGTGCAGCTAACTGTATTGTGGTTTCATTTTAATGCAGAAACTTTGAATGAAAATGACCCAGTACAATTACCAAATAATATATTTGATATACTTGGTTTGCATACTACTAACATTTGTGCCTTCCAATGTGACTCTTTCATGTAGCTGTTTTGTTGTTGTTTGCTCTGTGTACCATGCTCTGGATGACCGCACAGACCACTTTCCTTCTCGTTGGCTTATTCATTTTCCTTTTCTCCTCCTCTGAGAATCTGCAGTTCATTCTCTGCCTCTCTGCTTTGTCACACATCCATTTGTGCTCTTCTTTCTCGTGCTGTGACAGCAGTCTGGTTTTTGAGTTGTGTCTTTTGTGCCATGATATGCTCTGTTGTGTCACTGCTGCCGCCTGGTCTTTCTCTCTCTTCCTCTTCCTCCTTCTCCACCCTGGAAGCCCAACGACTTTAACGTACGTGTCTGCCTCAGACGTTATCTTATACTGTACAGGCATATAATGATGCTTAACTCCTCACTGGCTTTTCTTGTGACTCTCCCCATGCATCCCCCTGTCCTATATCTCTCTCTATCACACTTTATTACACCCCCATCCCATGGCAGGACTTCCTGGGACAGGTCTTCTGCACACTGGGAGAAATTGTGGGCTCACCTGCCAGTCGATTGGAGAAACCATTAGTGTGAGTGTCCTTTTAATTTATGTTTATCCTCCAAAGATTTATTATGTCAACCAGACAAATAGAACAATTTGATATGAGATAATGAATACTCACCTAACACTTTGCAGCAGAGATGAGCCGAGGAGGAATAAGTCTTCCTCCTGCTGCTTTCAGTGTTGTACATTACAGTCCAAGATTAGACGTGTGTGCTTAGATGGGAATGTGTAATTGAACATGACCGGGAGCTTCCTCTATATAGCTGCTGTCATTAGTGAGGTGATCTGCCATGAAGCAGTGAAATCATTGAGATACATTGGGCTGCCAGTTTACCTTTCATGTAAACTGGAGATTAAAACCCTCAAACTAATGGAAAGGCTGGACATTTTTGCCCCTAAATATTATAATTTATTAGATTTTTTAGATGCAGTGGCGCATGACATATTTTTTTTTCTGTTGTTCAAAAAACATTTGTTGTTATATTGATGTTGATGTACTTAAGACTGGATCAAGGTTTTCCAATGAAGTAGGTAAATGTGTGGGATTAGAATGAAGAGGAGCATATATATATATATATATATATATATATATATATAGTTACAAACAAAGCACATTTTTTTCAGTGAGACAACTGCAGCTTATTATTAAATTAATGGACACTTCCATTGAAGGAATATGGGAGACATATGTTGTTGATCATTACTTACTGTACCCCCTTGCTATTATGGGCTTATTTAAATTTTTAAAACCTAATTCATATATGTTTAATTTGTCAGATTTTATTTTTCCAATTTTACTTCTACAAGCAAAACTCCCGATAAAAATAAAATATTTTCTAAAACAATAAACACAACCTTTATTTGGTTTATGTTGTAACTTTGTTGTTAGAATAAAAAAGGTTTGCGATTTGAAAATGTGAGTTATTTTTAAGGCTTTTATATTTTACAGATTTTCAATGGGGAGAAACTAGAAAATAGGTGAAACAAGATGTCTTCTCAACTAAAATTTTCAGAACACATTTTAATTAGCGCTACTCTTTTTAGAAAACTTATTGCATCCTAACACTAAAGAAGTAAACTTGTCAGTGCATGTTTGAGTTTTCTGGATTGCACTGGGATAAGAATCTCCCATAATCTTGAAGATGCAGCTGAAAGAAAGAAGTTTAAGAAACTTGTGCTGGCTCTGTGTGCCTGTTTATGTCTCAGGTTGAGTTTTAGGTGGTCCCCTCTCTTGGCTCAGTTTTGGCCCCCCCATTTGGTGTGTCATGCTCCCCTCCGGTGGTGGGTCCCCCTGTCGCCGGTGCATTGGCGGCTCTCAGCAGCTGGGGCTGGGTGGTGGGGTGTGTGCGGGCCCGCCCTGGTGGCTGCCTGCCGGGGCCTGGGTGCCCTGGCTCTGTCGGGCCTCTGTTGGGGGGTGGTGGTATGACCTCAGGACTCGGGGCTCGGTGTCCATGGCCGGATCCACTCTGGAGGGGCGGGTTGCCGGCGGGGCCTGTGGACTTGTCGCTGCAGCCTCCTGGGGTTTCTGCATTGTGGTTGCTGGGGGTCGCCCGGGGCTTCCCTTTGCTTCTCTCTCTGTGGGGTGCGGGTGTCCCTGTTGGGGGACTACCAGAGTTCTGGGCTTGGGGGCCGCTGTGTGTCTGTGGTTCCGGTCTTTCCTGTGTTACCATCGTGTCCTGTGGGGACGGGTCTGTGGGTCCCCACATCCACTATTGAACATTTTTATGGAGAAACCTTATAGTGACAAGCATGCTCACACAGGTGTTTAGATCCAGGTGTTTATCAGATTCACACTCAGTTGGGTTGTGGTGGCCATCAAATATATAATGCATTACCATGTACTGTATAAAATACTTTCTAATGATGTTATAAGTATCATTATATATGTTGTTTGTTGTTGTGGTTTCTCGGTTTTGTCTTTTTTTTCCCGCAGGTCTAGAGGCAGACTTCAATGATGTTGAGTTGTGTTCTCTTTATCTCTCTCTCTCTCCTCTATTCCCCTCTCCTTCTTTACCTTTAAACCCTTCTCTCACTTTTCTGCTTTGTTATCTTCTTTGTTTATCATCCCCATGTCCATTACATCTGAAAAAAGCCCAAAGCAAATTCTAATAAAATTAAATTTATATATCAAGTGGAGCATTAAGGCCAGCCATAATGTTCTGCTTGTGAAAGTAAATCTGTTGGGCATCACTTTGACACTCAGACAATAATTATTTCACAATGCCGGACAGGACAAGGGAGAAAAAGCAAAAAAAAACAAAAAAGAAACTTGTGCTGTTTGTGAACTAAAATACCCCAAAGTGCTGAATTTCAAGGTATCATCTTTATCATGCATTATTTTTAAGAGCTGCATAAATAATATATGTTTTTGTGAATGACTTTATTAGTATTCAACTCTAAATCAGATGAAAATAAAAGAACATCTAAAACCCATAGGACCAGGTGAACAATATAATACTAAACTTGTGTTTTTTTTGTGATTTCCTTTTAGAATGGGGAAAAATTGATCGTGTGGTACTGAAAAAAGCTAACATTTGCCTTAACAGATTAATAATTCTGGAAGATGGTTTTCATTCATTCATTCAACCTTTATTTATACAGGCTAGCCTCATTGAGCCACGGGGACTCATTTGCAAGAGAGACCTGTTCCAGACAGAACATATAAAGTACAGACAACAAAACTGTAGACAATAATAACAATAAACTACAGTAAAAATGCAGTTAAAATAAGAGTAGTGTATAAAACAATAAATCAGGGTCCCGCAAAACAGGGTGAAATACTAAAAGCAAACATATTTGCTCTGATTTTTCTATTTCTGTTTTCTATCTTCCTCTGGAGACAAGGACTCTAAACATCGAAAGAGTCGGAGGGAAATAAACTCACTGACAAAAGTTACCTACTTTTCATGTTTGTTCTAATACTGTCTCAGAACCTGAATTTACAGAGCTTGAAAAATGAATCTTGTTTATTACATAGAGAAAAAAACAACAACACTTACAATTTCCCCTGTTTTAACATCAGTCATGGTTTTTTAAAAGTAGTTGACCAAGTTTATGAAGTTAGCTCAAAAGTACTTTGAAGTCTTGGAGGCTTTGGTGTAAAATGTGAATTTTATACTTTACCATGTGGATCCTAAAGGCTGGAAGGCTTTCTTAACTTTCCAGGAAGTCACCCTTTCAGTTCGTGTTGTGAAATCAGTCTGTCAAACTTTTAACTATGTTGTGGTAATGGTCTCTTTCTTTTTCACAACAATAAAGACAACTTTACTCGTACAGCTCACACCAGGTTACAGCACCTCTGATAGGCTGAGGGAATTTGAGGACAAACATTTGACTCGTTTCAGTGCAAAGCAGCCACAGTTTGTCCCACATTATGTTACATGCATGGTGGTTTTTAAAACAACTCCAACACACTCTTCTTATTGTCTGATTCTCTTTTCTCCTGTAACACAACAACATGATGTAAAAAGCTGACATGCTGCTCAGCCTCAACTAGAACCGTACGTTGCTTCCTTTAGTTATGTCTCTTATTGAGAGTGCAATGAGGCGTTCAACACACTCAAGGGTTTGTGTTTGACTGTGAGACAGTGTGCATTTTTTATGTGAAGTACGAGGCAGTGCCGGCCACGGCAGAGGGGAATTGCGAACAGCGGGGCTCTTGGAGGCAACCACAAACTCTGCCAGGGGCTCCTGGGCTGGATTACAGAGCTCGGTGCCCTTCAGTGCTGAATAAGAGGATGACGAGGATCAAGAGACTGTGCTCACCAGTATGCTGCAAACTAGGCTTCACACCCCACATCAGAGGCAGAAAATAGACTCAGCAGCCCCCAAGCTGACATGATAGAAAATATATTGATTCAACAGCTTCAGCAGGGCACTTTGATCACTGCGGAGATAGTGATGATGATGGTTTTGATCTTTTCAGATCATAGTTTATAGTCATTTAACTTATACATATGACAAAAGCAGTTTAGAAGCACAAAGAAAGCACAAGTGCGTCTTTGATATTATGTTCCCAGTGGTATTCAGTTCAATGGAAGTGAAGTTTTCCTCCACTTCTGTGACAGCTAATAGCCGAGAAGTTTAATGGAAGGGTGCTCTGTCTCCTCGTCTTGTCTTTTTAGATGACAGTGGCTTTCTGCACTGTAGCTTCAAGGAATGACACTTGCTGGGACTCAGGAAATCTGTTAGTCATGCTGAAACAAGCCCTCTAAAGGCACGCTGCATCGAATGACCTGCTTAAGAAGCACATCAGCACCCCTTTCCCCATTTTCCACACTTCATCTTTCATTTATTCGTTTTCGTTCTATCTGCCAGATCTTTTTTTTTTTTACTGGCTTGACCCCCTTTCTCCTTTTTGTGCTTTGTATTTCTTTTTACTCATCCAAACCTTCTCCTCAGACTTTTTGCCTTTCACGCTCTTTTTCAGAAATGCAATTGTGCTAAAAATGCTATTGTTTCGGTATCAATGCTACGTTGTACATGACTGCAAAAGTCACATTCAGAGACACACAATGACAAGAAAGGCAAATGTAATCAATCATGTCATGCTACAGCTTCCCACTGCTAATATCAGTCGATCTCAGTTTTCTCTTTTGTTTTGTAAAAAGACTATAAAATGTAGTTTACTCTGACTTTTGTGATTTTTGTTCCACAGAGTTCATTTTTTAATTCTAGTAAATAAAAAGCAGATTTTTCATGATTAGTATCCTGCAGGCTTATTCTTTTTACAACACAATTAATAAATACAAAAGGTAAAACTGCCAAAAAAGAAAAACCCTTGTATGACGTTAAAAGTAGTTTAATTTTTGACTTGCCTTGATTCTATCACATTGATACACATGTTAGGTATGTAATGTTTGTCTTACACAATTCTTACAATGTATAATGCAGAAAAAGTATTTTTATGTCAAATGACATGAGACTCTCAGAACAGTCTGCAGAGTATGTGTCGCTGCTGAGAACAGTTGGTGCAGTTTGCTCATTAGTGGGTTGTAACACACAAGGTGACGCAGTCCAAAAGCA